CGGCCTGTTGCAAAACTATTTGCAGGGTGCCACGCGTTTACTCCGTAATTCCCAGCAGTGAGGCAGTACTGGTGGAACTCTCTTTTATATAGGGTGGATCTGGTGTATTTCTACAATCTTCGCATGTACGAATAACAGTATAAGGGCGTATATCGTCTATGTATTTCTTTTGTGGCGTTGCCGAATATGAGTGCTGCTATTGTAAGCGGCATACACTTAGATGCATATTAAAACTAGGGTTCAGATACGGTCGTGAAATCATCAGGTAAAGATCGTGCATGAGAAGAAGCAATGCAGTATTAAGCGTGTCTGTTTCGGATTCAGTCTTTTCGGCTTGTCACTTAGCTGTCGTTCCGCTAACAGAAAGTTACGGTGCAGCAGTTTAACTGCCGTTATGGAAAACCCTAGTCGCAAGAGCGTGAGGTTTTATCCGATCTATAAGGACCTACGAATATCTGTAATGAAGACATGGAGACGCTTTATTATAACAACTTCCAGATTCCAAAGACACCCAGCTTGATCAGAATTTAGCATGTCAATGTGAAAAGGTGATAACAGATTCTCATAACGCAACTGAAACCGCGGAGGAATCCTACAAAATCATTTAGTGATAGATCCTCGATGAAAGAATGACATCTGAGAGTATGGCAACTAAGTGCTAAATAAATAAAGGATAAAGAATAAAGGTCTCTGTGTTGATCAATCTCTGAGGGATGCTCCGTGTAATCGACTTCATTTAGCATTGTTTCGAGATGATTGAAGGCATACCTGGCGTTTACAATGACTCGAGGTGGCCTAGCGATCTATCGAGCCACTGCTGCTATTCTCCCAGACAAGTCTGGTACCAATTTTCCGACCCTGGAGCGATGGAAGGCTTGGTGGGCCATGGTCGCGGTGATCGATTCCATGTGTGTGTTGCACGGCCCCTTCGACTACTGAGCCACACGCGCCCTTGTGCTAAATAAATAACAGCATCAATGCTTCTTGTCGTACGATCACGTATGGTAGTCATCTAATTAATCACAAATGAATGTGATGATTTTGCTTCGTTTTTGCTCATCTCATGAATTTTCCGTTTGTTAAATATTCTATAGGTAAAAGCACTCCTTGTGTAGCTTTCATTATGTTTATTAGAAAAAATTTCTCGAATTATGAAATTTTTCGCAGACGTTTGATTTATATGGCTGACTCAGCTGGACCCAAGTCGTAAAATGTTAGGTCGAACTCCTAAAGCTATAGCATACTGCATATGAAATGGGCCTGCACAGTGCTTGTTAAACTCGGGCGGCGATCAACACGAAATCCTCTTCGCCACAGACTGTTTAACTAAACTGGATACTGAGTAACTAAGTGTATGATGGAAGAAGGATTTAGTTCCCTAAAGGAGGTCGCCGATCTGGGAACTGTGCATGCGTGGACGGCGACCTTCAACTGTACAACAATAGCATTTTCGTATCATTTGCTTTATTCCTATTTATTTACACGACCCTCGGAGGCGCCCTCGCACACACACGTGGAATAGATCCCCGCTCCCATGTCCCATCAAATCTTCCATCCCTCCGTGGTCGAAAAATTGGTACTAGACTTGTCTGGCAGGACAGGAGCACTGGCTCGATACATCGGTAGGCCACCGCGGGTCATTGTAAAAACCAGATATGCATTCAATCACCTTCAACGATACTTAAGGAAGTCGAATGCACGGCCCATCCCTCAGGGATTAATCAACGCCTTTATCATTTTTATTTTTTATTTATTCGACCCATCACATCTACTGTGCGGATTCCAGGACTTATTACAATCGATTGGTTTTTCTCGCATTCATCGTCGACAAAGGTCTTTTGAACATTTGGCGTGTTCGTCCTGCTGCTACTTGAGGATTTCATCTTTTTTTTGAATGCTTTTCAAGTCAATTGTCTTTGCAATCTTAGGGATAGTGGAGCCGCATGAATTGAGGAAGAGCGTTAGAGGTCGGAGTTCGCAAGAAGAAAAAAAAAACATCATGTTAACATTTTATGCATAGTTCCGAGCAATTCATGATAAAAAAGAACTAGAAGCATAGAGTTTTGAGAGACTATGCACCAATCAGAGCTGTTCAAGAACCCACAACTCAGGGGAGAGAACGCTATCATCAAACAGCTCGATGATTAGTAGATCGATACCATTTTTTCTTTTTTCGCAGTCGTTGTGTTTAAAGGAGGTACACATATACCGCTGTGGAAGCAGATCCAGTCGAGGTACACACGCACACTAGTTATGACCGTCCCACGATACTCCCTGTTTTTGTCGCCTATAATGTAGCATAATATATGACGATGTGACGATTTATTTTTTATTACACCTAGTATAACCACTAATTAGGAAGCGTAGTATTCTTTCGAGATTTGAGTAGCTACTGCACCTAAGCCGAATCGATAGACATTTTTAGAATACATCCACAAGGATGCTGAGATATGAGCAAAACTGAACTCAGCGGGGCTTCAGACATGCCTTCTACACTTTTTGGAAGCTCACGTGTTACCCACTGCACCAACAGAGGCCTTTGCTTTGCCCTTCTATCATCCAGTTTTTTTTCTTACTTTAACAGTCATGCGTCAGAAACCTGGTCGCTGCGTAAACAGGATGAAAAGCCACTCAGCGTTATTTAATGCGCGGTCGAAAGGACGATGCAAGGTGTATCCCGTTCCACACAAGTAAGGGATGGGATCCGATGTGCCGATCTGCGTCAACGATCAAAAATCAAAGATGCCGTGCTGTACGCCAAACATTCGAAGATAAGGTGGGCCGGACACGTAATGCGTATGAATGACAACCGATGGACAAGAGTCGTTAGTGACTGGATTCCTCGGGATGTCAAACGCACTGCTCAAGACCACCGAACCGTTGGTTAAAGTTCTTCACGAAGAGCTTAGAAGAAAGATATGATGCTCAACGAGTCCCTACAGCGAGCAGAACCCACAGGACTACTCTTGTATGCGAAAGGGAAAAATGGAAGTTTTACTGGCGACCGCTCGGTCACTCGACGATCAACGAGACTACAGGTGATACAGGTGATACCCTCAAACTGGTGTCAGCAATCACACGTCAGCGGGAAATATTTGGAAAGCACAAAACAGCACTGAACCCTTTTAAACTGAAACTACAGTTGATGACAATGTTTTGACCTTTATTTACCGCCTACATGAAAGGATTTTATGTGAAATACAACCATAAGGAGGCTCATTCTCTTTCTATTCATATCTCATAATCCTTGTGGTGTATTTCAGATTAAACCCTGCCTTGAAAAAAGAATAGGTAGTAAGGAGAAGTCAAAACATTGTGATTTAATTGGAGCTTCAGCATAACTGGGCTTAATACCGATTTTCGATGACCACATTATTCTGGTTAACGGGTCATAGCTGGTAGCACCGTTAAGGTAGAAAAGTGACCGAGAGAGAGAAGCAAAGCAAGTAGCTCGATCAGTGCAATAGAGAGCACGTGAAGACCCTGACAGGTAATTGCGGGTTCTAGGCGCAATTGAGGTCTCTGGTCTTGCTCATATTCCAGCGTCCGTGTGGTTGTGCTTCGCTAAATATCTTGCCATGAAAAAGAATAGCGCTAAGTTACAAAATTTTTAGAATATTTCTTTGTCACCCTACTTCAACAACGAGAACTCGTCCATTGTTATGTGGTTAGTTATGGGAAATCTCGCTTATCACCATCTCTACAATTAATTTCTCATCTGCTTTTTTAGTCATAATAGATGTTCTTAAGTTCAGACGAAACACATATCCAACGGCACAACGCAGAACAGTGGCGGTGTCCAGGAAGCAGCTGAAGTTTTCTTTCCTTCAAAAGTCGATCACTTGCTTTTAAATAGAGTTTTGTATCTTAGTATTCATTTTATATGTCAATCGAAAGCATAGTTTACTATTTCATGTTTACAAAGTCACGGCGATATCGCTAAGTTCGGATCATCGTCTTATTTGTGTTGGACTCTTCATAATGTCCATAGAATCGGACATTCCGAAGACCTCCAATTCGAAAGCTTCGAATAAGTGAGATTCCGGAGAACGCAACATCGCTTGAAAATCCGACAAGGTGTTGAAAGCTTAACATAGGTTGATGTGTTTCTGAATCTTGTTGTCGCTAGAATAAAACTATAGAGCACTTCACTTAAAACCAATACTACACAGCGGCACACATTAAGGTCTCAGCGTCAGTGGTTTTGCCTACGGCCGCATTGTTATTAAACCTATGTTATTGGAGCAGAAAGTCACTTTGCAAAGAAAAAGCACCGATGTGCCTACCATAGCCAATTATGCACTAAAATACCTTACGCCTTGCATGATGCAAGGACTTGACGAGGAAGTTGAATATTCTTTAGTACTTTCTTCGAGAAGAGAACTATGGAAAACCTTCCTGACTTTCAGTGACATATCGGGAAGTATTAATCATTTTTTCGGAGGTTTAATGAAAGTCGGTTTTAGGTTATTTCCATGGCATAGTTTTGCTCTTAATTAGGCTTTCAGATAAAAACGTCAAAATCCTCAGTTTATAGAAACAGAGGAAAACTCCCGCTATGCATCGCAATTCGACACTCAGTAGTAATACTCGGCCGCAAGGGTGATCTTTGCGTATGTGTGTCCGTGTATGTAAATATGTGTGTTTTTTATGTCCACGTACAGTGTTGTGTCTGGTCACGTATTTGACAGAAGCCGCTGAGAACCAAATCGTTTGCGATCGGCACTGAACAACCGGATGAAACCAATTCAATTCCAGGAGAATACCTAATCAGACGTGGGACATAGAAGTTGAAAAAGGAATGGGTGTGAAAATTACCATCATTCAGAAATTAGTCGGGTTTTCATTCATCGACTGTCAATTTTTCAAACACCGTGGTAACCATTCCTCCAGCCAGTTGCTGCTGAAGACGCCTTTGCAAGATCGATAAGCAACAGAAGCATAGAAAATCGCCGTCACCGAATAATAGTTTCGGACCGCATAGGAGAAAATACGTAGGCTTATATTTCGGCTGAGTTGAAGGATACAAACGGTGTTGGTTTCTTAGAAAATCTACCATATGCATGTCCACAAACATATCCAGACGCTTGCACAATCAGTTTTCCCACACTGAAAACAGCTGACACGGCGAGTCGTTTTGTTCGCCTTACCTCATAATAGAGTTACAATAGATATCGAAAAAAACAAAAACAAACCGCCTCGTTGCATAAACACCTGGACATCGTTGCAATTGAGACCGATGGCCAGCACCCCCATCACGTAATCCCGCAGCTTATTGGCCGGCTGCATCACTCCGCTACCGCTGTCGCCCTGGAAATCATGTGTGGGAGGGCAAGAATATGGGTGGGAAGATTTGCACAATCAAAACCTTGCAGGCGAACTGTCCCTTTTCCACAACGCAAAACGCATCCTTACCGACTTTGATAGACGGATCGCAGAATGGCTCTTTGGAGTATATGATCTTCTCCATGTGCTTCTCCGTAGCAGCCACATTATCTGCTAGAAACCTCAGAAGTTGGTTTTGGACATTTCTAACATGATTGTAACATGTAATACTACTCTCTTGTACAACAATGAGAAAGAAGGTGTCTTTCTCAGAAATAGACACCAAATCTGATACAGTCACAAAATTGGTGTTCGCGTAGTGCTTTATTGTAATATTTATCCCGTTGATGGGTGACTGCTAATTGCACTGATAGATAGAAAAGTAGCCGAGAGAATCGCACGGCAAAGGCCTCCGTGGTGCAGTTTGTAATGTGCGAGCCCCTGGAAAGGGAAATCGTGATTCGATCTGGCCATGGGTACAAGTTCTGGGAATATCTTGACATCGTTGTGATTGACTTCTTTTATAACAATTCAGCCGTAACTGTTGGAGTAACGAAGAGCTTCCTATTTTCTGCTAAAATTTCAACACCCACATAAGTATAGCGAAGAGTGTTGTTAAGGAGAAGCAACATCAACGCCCACACGCAGATTAGACACTTAAGTTTTCGACAAAACAGCTGATAGACAAGCTTCTTAAAGGCGCTTTTTTAGAGTTGATTGCATCAAATTTCGGCCTGCTTCCTTGAAGAGGACCCGTTATGAGGACGCAGATGACTGCAGCGCTACCCGGGTGGAGATCGAAACGAGTTTGACGAGTACACATCGGACAGCTTTCCTAACCAAAACATGTAATTTCTAGAGGATAACCTTTTTTAGGGTTGCAAAACAATATATTGCGCTAGCATTTGAATGACTCATCGGTGAAAACCATTTGCATTTATGCTTATATTACAAGCTTAAATGTCTTTTAGGCGCGAAATTAATCTCCTTCACAAAAACACTTTTCAAGTGAAAATAAATCTATTCCGATCCTCGCTGCACTTTTCATGAGCTTCATTATTATAGGCCTAATTTGTTCCATTTCTTTTCATTATAATAACGTGGCTCAAGTTGAATGCTTCGCAAATGGCTACGAAGTGGTGGCGAGGCAATTCACTTCTATTTAAGTTTTCGTAGCTCCTCTGACGACTTCATTTCAATTTCTTATTTAAGAATTCACCCGCTCACAGAAAAGTAGACGCTTTGACCTCTCCCTACTGTAAACTTCCTAGTGTTATACTGATACTCTACTTACGGTCATACCCATAACCTGCTGAAGTGAGGTTACGTCCACTGAGCTTGACTCTCCTAGTAGGCAGGCAAGCGATGTCGTAATAGTCGGTACTCTCGGGAAGTGCGGTCTCTAACTCAACAATAGCGATGTCGCCAGATCGGCACTTGGACATGAAGTAACGGGCGGGAACTATCATCTGTAATCCTCATGCAATGCATCGACCATGAACGACGCTGCAACAGCGAATCACACCTGAATTGCTTTGACTCTCCTCGCTACCTCAGCTTCTGGGCAGTGCCCATCGGGCTTTACCACCACACAGTGTCCACCGTAGTGCACATACACTATATTAGCTCCATCACTGAAACGTTAAAAACGGATTAGGGGTGCCTTTCCTTCATAACGTGATTCTTGCTAAGCGATTCTTTCGAAAGGAATAAGCAAGAAAATGGTGTTACTTAAGTCTCCACTTCTTGTGATTTGCAAGAGGAGAACCACATTCCTCTTTTGTAACGAAACAGTGCGCAGCAGTGAGCACGTGCTGACGACTGATCAACACCCCGGAGCATCGGGACGAACCTGGCAGAGATCACTAAGTCTTTTCTTGGTCGTTCAAACGGAGACAAACACTTGCCGTTTCCAATGTCCAACATCACTGCATACTTCATGTCTCCTTTTTTCACCGGCGTACCGTTCATCATTCGTTTTTGACGCGTTTTTACTAAAATCATCATATCAGATCAGATAGTTCCTACATATTCAAAAAGACAAATGGTGTATGACAATTTCAACCTGTATAGCACCCTAATAACATAACATCCCAACCCTGGATATCATCTTAATCCCTATCCCTCCCAACGGTTCACCGCTTCGACGTGGCTGGGAGGCGTTCGTGAATGCTGGGCTGCGATGTACAGTGGAGGGATTCATTCTCCCAGCAGAGTCTGCCAAGCTGAGAGGGAATCCGGCGTTTACACCAAGAAGCGCAGCTAGGTGTAAACCAATACCAGGATCGAACACGGTCCTGGTACCAAACTAGTCACATGGTGGCAGATCTCCCTCTGATCCACAAGGGCTGCGATTGCCTGTTGTGGTGACGAGCTGGCGCAGACATTAGCCAGGCTGATATCGGGACACCAGGAAACCACATTTACTAAATCTGCAAATCTCCGGAGAATGGAAATTATGTTAGGGCCCGTAAAACCAGTGGAAACGGGCAATCCAAGAATCCAAGTATCTATGTATCTTAATTCCATCGCATGAACCAAAAAAAGTAGGAAAAAAAGAAGTTGTAAACAGAGCTGAAGACTGGTAAAAAGTTTATTTATTTATTTATTTTAGTCTCACTGTTCCCATGCCATGCATATCTTAGATGTTGGAGATTGATTCCACTTTGGTAGGAATTTCAACCGAAAACTCCACAACGAGGACTTGACTATCGCCTAAGCTGCATGTCAATGTGATCTTTCAGAGCTCAAAAGAGGCTAAAATCCACCAAAACCTAAGATATTGTGGGATAACCTTCGCATAACATTGGCACCTCGTGATCATCTGGATTTTCGACTACTGTTGATAGTTTTTCGAACTTTACAGCGGATGAGAACCTCACACAGGCTTCATAGACTTATAAGGTTTTGCAAAAGGTTCATTCAACTTTAAATATTACTGGAATTAGATTTTTAGCCGGATTGAAAACCTAATTTTCAAAGAAATTTACGTTCAAGCGCAACAACCACAAAGATCGACAATAAGTTTGAGAGAGACCGCATCGTGAGACCTTAGGCGAAATCCGCTTTGCCTTTAAATGGCTTAGTGTCCGAAATACGGGTGTCAGCGGAGAAGAAGTGGAAAAGACATGTACTCCATCTATTCAGAACTTCATCTTATTTGAGAGCCAGTGCGTTGCTGGCGAAGATCTGTAGATTTTGAAGAGTTCCCACTAAGAGCCCAAAGATGCCTTCTTAGCGTTAAAACCGGCCATGATTTCTAGAGCGTGGGAATCGTACATGACTCATACAGTCGCGAATGTGTTAATGCCATTTTCTTTACTAAATCTTTCCCAAGCCTACACCACACAAAGTCCTCAGCACTTGTGAGCTGAAGGGAGTCTTTACCAAACTAGTCTTTCACTAGTTTGCAGCCATCGAAAGGATGGGAAGTTTGGTTAGCCTAAGGTGTGTTGAAACCAGAGATCATGCTTGCCTCTCAGGCGCGACGTCATTAACCACCGTCCCATTTGAGAAAGGGGAGCTTAAGCTATTTGCACTCTAAATGTCACTTGAAATGTAGGTCCATAAAGACTTGCTATCAAATCATGTTGTGAAATCGGAGAAAATACCATTTGAATCACAGAGTTCCAAGAGTTTCTTATTTTCTTCACCGGAAATCCGTTTGAGGGATGTGCAAAGGTTGAATAATGACAAGCAATATAACAGAAAGGTCAACGACGAAAACCAAGCACAGTGCATTCTTGCAGCTGTAGAACAGGCGTCTTCTTGCCGCTCTGCTTTCCCCTTATAAATGCCTCTCGATATTCATGACTCTTATTGTAGAAATTAATTCTTTCTCTGCCTTTTTTTCTTTACGTCACCATTCATCAATTTCTATGCTAAAAGATATTTTGTGAAACGTGGAAGGTTGATGCTGAGATGAGGAACACCAGCGATCACAACGTAGATGTCTCATACGCTTGGTCCGATTCGAAAGTTAAACTAGGGTTTAAGAAATAGACTTAAACTGGTTACGATGAACAACAGAGTTCGGCAAGAACCAGCAAGTGAGTAAACGAATTGAGTGTTATGAAGGCGTGTAAAAAGCCATGGATTCTACTGCTCCATCCAGTAGTTGTAAGACTTTTACACAACTGATTTTTTAAGAACCTTTTACAGTAGTTTAAGAACCGTTTGCATCAAGAGAGACGTTGAGTAGGGTAATGTTATTCGAACAGTGCTCCACTAGATTCGGCTTCAAGGACACACATCGGAACAACAAACTGCTGTGGTAAATCAGCTCAAGTCGTACCAGCACTTAAAAAGGCGAAGACGCAAAAATGTTGGCCGCAATAGAGAGTTTTTATAACAGTATAGTGAAAGCTGATGAGTATAACAAAGCACTCTTGATGATTCTACGTAATAGTTTTAGATTATTAAATAGCAGATACCCTTATTTCATCTACATGAGCTGCAAATCATACGTTTAATTACGAGTATACCATATTCGGTGTGTGAAAATGGCTACATCTTCTTGAAAGGAAATTCAAATTGAGTAGTTTCTACGCCAGCTGATACCATTTCCAAAAACAGAGGCCGTAACCGAAAAAAACTTCATGTCGAGGAAAATCTGACGATAATTGCAAATGTTTTCGGCCGTCACTGAATCTACTTATTTTCTCTTCCTCCTAAACTTTAGTTTCTATGACAGTAACTGTGAACGCTGAGCTGAAACCAGATCCAGGCGAATTAGTGCGCAGCAGGGGTTTTTCGGAACGTGACTCGTGTGTGCGCTAAGAAATTATGCACCGTTATGGAACCGTGGTGGATGAAAAGGACAACAACCATTTCTGCCGACTGGAAGCGGGAACTATTAAGCCATTTGCACTTACCACCGGTTGCAAGGTAGATATTCCAGTTCACTACGGTGGCAAGGCTTCGTCGTAAGACTTTATCACCACAATCTAGCGGTCCAGTAGATAAAATGTCAGTTAAATCTACGTATTTCAGATCACAGAGGGATATCCTCAAGTAGGTATCGTTATCACAGATGCGCAGAATACCCTAAACATGGCATCTACGTACCTTGCAATGGCTTGTTGCTGATACTGGCTACCAACTGAATTTAAAATTTAGAAGTAGAAGAAACATGCAGATGTGTTGGTCGATGGAAATATATCATTGGAGAGAATAATTCTACTGGCTATCAATTTCACGCATCGATTCACAAGGCTTCATTGAAAGGATAGGTATCCTGAAGACTAACTTTTTCACGAAGTAGGCTTGGAACCTTTATATTCTAAAGGATCTTCACTGCTTGGCAACTTATTTTGTTGGGTGTGTCTCAATGTCTTAAGCGAAGCGGTCGGCTGAGGAGTGCAGATTCTGCAGAATTCCACAAGAATATCCGTTCGCAAGTCAATGCAAATGCGCACCAAATGAAGAGATATGTTATGTGGTTATATCGTGTAAAAAATTTTCGGTTGAGAAGAATGACTGGTCTGTGCATCTTCATTCACAAATGCTCCTTGGCTGTAAAATCGTCTCTTGGTTTCTGCAAGTTTTTGACTGCATCTTGAACTTGTTGTTCATCTACAACGTCTCAGGATAAGCTCAGGCAGGCAGAATGCTTGCCGAGTAATTCCTCCACGACGTGAATCTGATTATGTCTGATGAACTCCAAGACTCCTCCACAGCACTTCGGCATACAGCGACGATAGGCTCATTTAACACTATCGTCATTAAGTGGAAAACATCAAGTCGTTTATAGTGCAAGAAGGTCACGTTCATCTTTTCAGTGCTAAACACATCGAGTTCGTGTTGTTCTACAGGCTATAAAACGCTCAGCTATCCAAACAAGTTTTTAGATGCAATATGGAACCAACTTAAGAGAATGAATACTGTAGTGTTAACTGGCCGTTGTCCTTCGAACTGCCGTTTATGTTAACTAATCCAATGAGCTCCAATGTGAAACGGTAAGAAATTTTCCGCTAAAAATAAAATCTGTCTGACTATTGCCAAGAAACAGAGATCAGTCCTAAGAAAGCGCTTGTCGTCTTTTTGATTAAACCCAACGTCACGAAAAGAGTACATTTTTCAAGCCTACCGCCACTTAACTGCGGCATGAATAACCAACACCTTCTTGGAATATATTGGAATATTAAGTTGGTGCAAAGATTTATTCGGTTAACGTTTCGATGCGTTCGTCTTAGTCGAGACGTTAGCCGAATAAATCTTTTCAACAACCTCATCTCTGCTTAACAATCGAAGAAACCACGAGAAGATTTCCATGTCTCTTTCCTTTCTTCCTCTTGGTGTCCTCACCTCTTCCATACTGGAATAACCATCATACCTTGGTTGGCGCACTTCGAATTTTTGTTGACCAAGTAAAGTTACGCCATTATGCCTTCACTGACGAGGTCGGCCCCAACAAGTAGTGAAGCACAGTGTTTGCATGCGGGCGCTCCTATGACATTACCACGTCATTTCGGAACCTGGTTCAGCACATCGCTGTGAGGTCTGAGATCGCCACAGGTGAGGGCGGACGCTCCAGTTAAGACCACTCCGCAGACGGGTTTCGCCCATCCTGTGCTATAAATGGCCGAGGCGCGATAAAACAGCGCACTGTCCACTAGCGCGCTACTGCAGTTCCACTGAAAGCGTCATCTAGTGCTCATTTCCACTCCACGCGGAATTCAGAACTCGTTCTAACTTCAACCAACCAATTAACTCACCAAACAACTGCTAGTTATGCGTCAGTTTACCACTAATTTCATGCCGCTCGAAAACTGCACACACTTCAAAGCACTACCGTTAAGATTTGTCAAATTTCTCAAACTCTCTAGTCGGCCGATGTGATGCGTCTCGAACACAATATCCTATCATGGCCTTCTGAAGAGGTACTAACAAGGCAACGGGAATTTGTTGATGTTATAGAAACAGCATTGAAATACTTCTGGCTTTTTGTGCAACTATGATTTCCATCAGGAACTTTGCTTTTAGGAATTGATGCAAACACTTTTAGGAATTGTGTACAGGCAATGGAATGAAACAATGGTAATAAAGAAATATGTTACTTGATTTTAAATTTTTACAGCCAACATAGCGCGGATGGTCTTAAGAGCCCCGGTGCTTCTTCACAATGGACAAGATCTCAATCAAAAACAGATTAGCTAACTTTTAGTTGCATGTTTCTTCTTTCTAGGGCTCCACAGGGCGTACGAAATAAATAATGTTTCTAACGACTGCATTCCCTTTAGTACTCGTGACTCAAATCTAAAGATTGAGTTCTGTCAAAGCAACTGACATTTAGAATTTTAGCTCTTTCCTTCTGAGGTCCTTTATGCTTAGCGATGGCATCCTCGTCTTTTTTCACATGGCTATGGTTTCGCTTCTTCCATTCTCTTTGCCCTTAGGCAGCTGTTTCTGTTTATTATTCACGGAACTTCGAGCATATCACATCGATATCAGTTGGAATTCATTTGGTTCCAACGTTGTGATTGATCCCGTAATGAACAGTTGGTTCAAAGCAACGCCATTAACAAATTATATATTCCTCACAGTTGTAACAAATAAAGACGCTTAAATATCGAACAACCCTATCGACAGCGTGGTTTGGCTTCTTCTCTTTATCGTTGCAGCAAAAAGCCTTGTTGATTTCAATCAATTGGTGGCTTTCCTCAATTCCATGCTTTTTTTTGTTCATGTGTGTTCACATTATTCTCGAAAGATTTTTCCAATATTCGCATAGTAAAAGTGTCTACTGTAATGGGAAGATTTCGAACCCACTCCGATTGCTCCCATTGTCCTGAGGTGCTTTCCCATTTCAACTTCATTTAGTGTGGGCGCTACGAGGCCCGTCGAAGATGCTGTCGACAACCGTGGTGGCTCAAATGAGCGTCGTATCGGCAGGCATTCTGCTCAGCATTTCGATTGTTACCATCCTCCTTACAGCCAGGGAAATTAACGATGCCTACAGCGAAGCAATGCGAGATCTCACCAAATGGAAGGTTATTTGCCTACTATTTTTACTATTACTATCACTATTACTGTTATTATTATTATTATTATTATTATTATTATTATTACAAGACTTAATGTCGCACCTACTGTGCGGATCCCGGCACCTCTTGCTATCGATTAGTTTTCGTCGTATTCATCGTCCACAGAGGTCTTCGAATATTTACCGTGTTGTTTCAGGTGTTGCTTGAGGATTTCGCCTTTTTATGAATGTTGTAGAAAGCAGGTGGAGTCGCTTCTCCTGGAGTTCCGGAATGGCCGGGTTGAAGCAGTTCCAACCGGATTGGCGAAAAGGGTTGGGGACAGGGTAGCACCACCACATTGCCTTCCGGTGGTCTGCATCACTGACCACACCGCCAGAAATCCATTCACCAACAACTCTTGTCAATCGGATGCCGTGAAACCTTACTTATTTCACCTTTTTTTCTCGAATTTACTCCAGGTGTGCTTTAAGGCAGGAGGAATTGTTGAATTGCAAATGTGAGCGCGGAAGCGAGTGTTCATAGGCCTGTTCCTCCTCGATACTTCCAAAACCTCCAAGCCGGTCACTTTCTCTTGCAGAACTCTGGAACTGCGTCATTCATCTGTTGATTTTGAGAGCTGAATAGGGCATAAGAAGCCAGTCTGTTCCTCATGAAAATCGTTTTTGTGATATCTAGTCTAAGGCTAATCTTTCCATAAACATTATCAATGTCTGAAACAATTCGTTCCTCCTGGCTAATGCTTCGTGTTTAAGAACGATATCATCAGCAAAGCGAAGATGGTGTAATTTCTGACCGCCGATTTTCACCCCCATGTGTTCCACTCCAGTGTTCGCATGACGGTTTCGAGAGTAGAGGTATGGCGAGAGTGGTAGAAAAAATTTTGGGGAGATGGTATAGCCGTGTCTAACCTCTCTTTTGACGTCGGTGTTAATATCGTTGTAGAATGGAGGTATTTTGGTCGGGGAATTTTTACATAGCTCACGAAGAACCTTCGCACGTTTAGTAAGAACGCTTTGGCAGTCCATGGCTTCCATGATTGGTTTCCTTTTTGAAAAATAACAGTCTTGCTGGTCTTCCACTGAATGCAAGCCTTGCATTCTGCTAGGTGAGAGGGTCTAGCCAATGTGTTGATGAGGACTAGCGGAATGTCTTTCACGGGTTTATTTTTCATGAGATAATTGTAGAAATGGGAGGTACAAACCCATAGAAGACAAACGTCTGTGCTTTTGTGTCGTAATCAAGAACCATGCAGCTACGGCTACCTTCACTTTATTGTATGCCTCTGATCAACGAACTCGTAGTTGAAGTCATATTCAGCAGCGTTAACAAAGAGACCACTGAAGTGTTCGAATATGAGGTGGCTAGATGACCACAGTTTGATCTGCCAGTAGAGAAGAAGATATGTACAAAGAGATCATGCTGAATTATAAGCACCAGCGACCGAAGATGTTACAAAAACTTTTCATGAATTGAGAGCAGTTGGGCTTTTCCACATTGCTCACTATATAGCTAGCAGCAAAACTGTGCTCCGTTTTATTTAATATCCAGTGCTTGTTCATGGAAGTAGGGATGTAATTTCTTGAAATTTCATGCAGCAAATCCTATGGAATAAAATTAAATCGGAACGTTGCTGAGATATTTGCAAAACTACGGACCGCAGATGTCTGCATGGGGAACGAACGCTCTATTCCCCTTTCCAGGGGCTAACGCATTCGCCACCACACTGCGAGTCCTTCGTTTCGCCTGTCTCTCATGCCGTGTTATTGACCTATGGGAGCTATCAGCAATCACCAGACGACTCTCGATGTCTGGCATATTCTGACGCTTTGGTACAAAAGAACCTATTATACTTGTTGTTGCAAGCAATAGAGAATCAATTAAGTAGTACATTAGTGTTAAATTCCTTTAAGGTAAGGTACAGCACTAGTACATTGCATTGCGAACACAAAAATTATCCAGTCTATTGAACAGAAGGGCAGTTTCTACAAATGTTCATGCTGCCTGTTCATGCCAAAGATTCATAGAAGCTCAAACCAGATTCCGACGAACAGTGGTGTTTAGTACTACTCCGACGAGGCGTGGTTCAACATGAAGTCGGTTCTACGGCGGGTTTCCAGACAGGTGACGACTCCACTGAGAACTGTATCACGACGAAGCTACCCCTATGCTCCGTCGACCTACGCCGAGCCCAGCCAGAAGATCTATACAATCGATAACATCTGCAGTGAGCGGTTCTCCTGTTGTAATATTTCGTTGTACTAAATTTCTAACATTTTTAGTTTCAACAATGAACTCCAGAACATTGCCCGACCTGCTATAGTATTTTACAATGGAAAATATGGGAAATTAGAAGTTACGTAATTTTCTCATGAAGGAACATCGGTTATGGGACGCATGAATTATTCCACCGAAATTTTGAGCTGCAGCAGTGGTGAAAATTATGAAGCTACGGAAACTTTTCGCACAATGGTCATGTAAGTAGGCTGGGTCAGAGAGACTCCCGTATATCAGTTTACGAGAAAAACACCTCAGAGTAATCTACGAAGCATTCAGTCAAGCCTAGTCGTGAGTTGATCACTTCCAATTGTCTGTTCCTAGATATAAAAGCTGCAGTTACGTTTCACTTTTCCGATTTTCTGACAATAATTCCTTTCCGTTATCGTTTCACACAAATTGAACGATTTGTGGTGGAGCAAATATCTCATCAGAGTGTTCATCAGAGTGGATAAAGCCGTTTCACGTGAGGCCTCCGGCTTACGAAAGTGGCTCACCTGTTAGGATTTCGAGTTTGAAGCTGATGTCAAACAACTTCAGACTGGTCGACGATTCGTTCATCCATAACTGCTGGAGAATTTTTGTGTTTTCGTTTTAATTAGAGACCCCAACTGTTAATCGCCAATGGCAGCAGGACCCTAGCAGCCTTCTTCTCCATTTTTAAGGTCCTTATCTCCATCAGGAATGGAAAGCATCGAGGTCGGGCTGTTCGTTGGTTGACAATGCCGAGTGTTTCGGCTGAATCTCCTGAGCCTGCTCCTGTTCACACTTTAGTCAGAAGCCTTAAACAAAACGAGATTGGTCATTGTTTAATACTCAAGTATTCTGTTATTACAAAAACTGGGCTCGATAAAACAGCGTTCGGCCGATTTTATGGTGATCATGAAAGCTGAAAATATTAAAATCCCACTAATCTATACACGATTTCAACACATGGCCGGTCGAGTTTTTCTTTTGGGTTTTGTGGGCTTGAAAACCTCAACAGCAACACTCGGGTTTTTCGTGTAATTTTAAGTTTCGTATGCTACGAAAAAACGGTTAATTTTGCAATAGAGACAAATATAATGAAAAAACAACCAGTTTAAATGCGATATGGGTCCCATAGGGGCGCGTGGGGCCAATGCTCTGAGGCGCCCTGCAATATACATGAGATCGTTCCTCGCGCCCGTGGCCCACCAATCTTTTCGCCCCTCCAGCGTCGGCAAATTGGTACCAGACTTGTCTGAAAGGATAGCATCACTGGCTACGATACATTGATAGGCCACCGCGGGTCATTTTAAAGGCTAGATATGCATTCAATCACCTACAAATTAATGAAGACGAAAGCACGGCGCATTGCTCAGGAACGCTGAGAGCTTTATCCTTTATGTTTTTATGGGCCACATCGATCTCCATCGCGCTTAATTCTTGCTTTACATAGGCTTTTTTGGCTGTTCGGCTACATGACCATGTTACATTAGCACATTTTACTTTTCTCAAATAGCACATCGGGACAATGTTTGTTCTTCTTCGTGTTCGTTTCGGAGACCTTATTTCGACGCGCTAACCAAGAACCGTGTCTAAACGGTCGCGCACATCGCGATTCGTGAACTGGTTGCCAAATAACATTTTGCGAAGCCAAACGACGACACAAATCGGATAGAATATGGAGAACACAGCGCCCCGTATTTCCCTTCAATATTCTTCAAAATACGAATATCAACAGTTTCTTTTAACATCCCCGTTCGACATCCACCTCAGCTGCTTCAAACTTCACTGGTATGCGACATTTTTTAAACGTGATAGAATGATTCGAACTAAATCGAGATTATAAAAAGTGTCGGAATCCAAAACGGCATTCACAGCGAAACGCCAGTCCCACCGACCGAAACTTGCAGGCTGAAAACATGCTGGCTCAACAAGGATCGTAACTTATTCACAGATGACCCTAATCACAAGTAATACGTGTTCCAGCAAATTTTACACCACTCTAGCGCAATTGTCGTCCACAGTAGTGTGGTTTTGCTTTGAGTGTGGTGAAGTCCGCAATGCCCATTTAGTGATACATGAATACCTTTCAGCTCAAAACGAAGTGGAGGGAGCCATAAAGAAGTCTATCAATTTTGTAAGCAGTTGTCCTAATGAACCTTTGTATCTTTTTGGAGTCCACCCCAAAGCACTCCTAGTCCATTTTCGTCAAGTGTTCCCATTTATTGGCAGACTGTTATATTTTATCTTTCTACTTCTGTTCAGCAAACACTCATTTTATATATTTTAAATCTCATCGGCTGTGTTGATCGGTTAATTTTCGGTGGATCACTCACTGTATAGTGGTGAAAAATAACAGAATGGTGCTACGATAAAGGGCTTTTCTATGGAAAGACTTTAATTTCAGATTGTGCTCCCCAACTGAACAAGTGTCCTCCAGGGCCGCAAGGTCCGCCCGGTCAAAGAGGATATGATGGAGGTATGTTGACCAATACGATAAATTGTCAATTTAACGAAAGCACGTATGTAGCACGAATGGAGAAGCAATTTTTAGATTTAACCTAAAGTTCTGTTTGTATTTTTGAACAGTGTAAAGGAAGACTAGGAGGATCTTTGATTATTATGTTGTTATGCCCGCTTTACCTTCAGGCTGTGACGGTTACGGCTCTTTTTAAACAATAAGTTAACACCCATGGGCAATTTTCGATTCGTTGCACAAGACGGCCCGATCTGATTAATACCTACCACCAGGCTGATTTTTCGGTGGTGCGCCATCCTTTTTTCATTAAACTGAGGGATTTGGAGAGCTTTAACCTTATTTTATCCACATCGTGTAACATCAAGAAAAGAGTTCATTCCAATCGGTGCTTTATGTAAATTATTGTTTAAATTCTGAATTTAATCGTTTGAACTTTTTACAATTACTAGGTGTTAAAGCGTCCTATTTGGCCTGGTACCTTCGACTTTGACGTGCTTTCTATTAGCTACCGAACGAATTTGCATAATATGGTAAAAAAGTACCGTAACCGCTACGCTGAAAATGATCACTTATTTACTTGATACTTGATACCTGAATGGCCAGTCGTCAATGGTTGTGCGGGCCCCAGCATAATCTCCATTCTTCAGAGATTTGTTGGTTAAGCCATTGTGGTTCCATGGAATTCCGAGGTCAAGCTAGCCATTGTCTGTCCCAGGTCTTCACCACCACAGGCACTGGCAGCCCTTGTGGATCAGAGGGAGATTTGCCACCATGCGACTTTGATACCAGGACGATGATGGATCCCAGCATCGGTTTACTCTTGGCTAGGCTTCCTGATAGAAACGTCGGACTCCTTCTCAGCTTGGAGGACCCTGCCAGAGGATAAATCGACCTGCTGTACATCGCAGTCTCACACCAAGAAACACCTCCCAGCCACGATGAGGCAGTAAACCGCTGGGAGGAAAAATGGGCGCTATAGTGATCATAACGTCCAATCGCGCTGCCACATATAGACCCTACGTCCAAAAATACGGCTAATATCTTAATATAATGTTTAGTTCACTGATATAAAACTTGCTAAAGGAATATAGTATAGTCTGCTTCATTCCCCAGTAGTGAAGGACTACTTGTACACTGCAATGGGCCAGAAGTGAGAAAAAGAAAAAACAATAATCTAGTATGAAAAGTGAAGTCTCTGTGTACAATTTAGAATAGGAGGAAGTAATTGCACTTTTGAAGCGAAGGGCGCTGTATGTAAAGGTCGACGTTATCAAATGAAATGTTTCGAAATCGTGTGGTAAGGAATGGAGAGCTAGCTGCAGTAGCAAAAACTATAAACGGAAAGAATAGCCACAATGGTGCTGAGATATTTGCAAAACACCTGACCGCAGTTGTCTGCGGTGAGGAACGAACGCTCTATTACCCTTTCCAGGGCCTAACGCGTTCACCACCACACTATGCGGGCCCTTCGTTTTTCCTATCTCTCAGTTCTTGTCACTTTTTTGCTATTTTACTGGATTCGGCTCTTTCTAAGCAATGGGAACGTCGTGGTTAAATATAAAAATATGAAAAGCCGAAAACTACAGATTTTCGTGTTGATTTTTTGGTTGTATTAAGCCTTCTTTAAAATACTGGTGAATCGAAGAAGAAAACAGGAAGAGTAGTTATGCAAAAAGTTTTGAAAAACGGTAGTTGATGACGCTTTCGACGTTGTTCCATTCCATCGGGAACTGCCATGAATTCAACTTCATCACGCATCGTGGAAGTGATTGGAGGTATACCAGGTCTACATGTTCTTGTATTTCTAATACTTCCATTATCCAACGAAAACCCAGCAGAACTTGTTCCAGTTGGTAAGGATTATATTTTCTACAAACACATGTTTTGCTGAACTGTTTTCTAATCTTATTTTGAGCGTGTCGTGCACCCTTTATCATCAATCACAATTCCTTCTAGAAGACGGCATTCCGGGCCAACCTGGAAGCGATGGAGCAAATGGAGTTGCTCTCATTGCGTACCATCAGAAAGCACCTGGATGTATTCGTTGCCCTGTTGGACCACCAGGACCGCCAGGAAACGCTGGATGTCAAGGAGAACAGGTGAGCAAACCCGTTGGATTCAAACGTATTTATTTCCTAAGTTCCTGAGTTCTTTATTCACTTTTTGGTTTTCACCATGTTCTCGAACAAATTCTTATCAGAAGCGATTTGTGAATATTTAAGTTTGAAAGGAAAACTGCTAACATTCAGCAAAAAACTAATATTGAATCAATGGCGCATTCCCTGGATTTTAGAACAACCAAAAATTGCAGGGTTCGCCTGGTCCTCCCGGTCTTAAAGGATCTAGTGGATACCCTGGACGACAGGGGCCGTGCGGTTTGCCTGGAGACGCTGGCCTAATCGGTTAAATTTTAAAATTATTGTTTTGACAACTCGTACACCGATTGTTTAGCTGTTGATTTCAGGACCATCTGGCTTACCAGGTCTACCTGGACAACCCGGTAGTCCCGGCATGATTAGAATAGGTGTTCGTGGTCCAAAAGGATTGCCGGGCCAATTCGGTCCACCAGGCATGCCTGGACCTCCAGGGTACAGTCCCCCGCCAGGCCGTCCTGGTCTCATGGGTCCTAGGGGGCCACCAGGCAGAGCCGGAGAACAGGGACCTGCTGGGCTACCTGGATACGTACGTCGAAGTTTTTTGAACTGGGTTACATTTCTTCGTTTCTAAATACTACTCACTTACAAAGAGAGGTCAAAAGAGAAGTTTAGAAAAACTGTGAATTTTAGCCACTTAAGTACTAAACTATTGGCTCCTTTACACGTATAACAAACTGCGAACATTCATGTTTATCGGAACCAAACCGGTCTATCAAAATCTACCTTCCAGTAGCAAAAATTATGACTGCCGAGGGTACCCTATCAACCTTAACTGATTATGTGGTGATGACAATGTTTTTATTCGGTAGTTACGTGATGGTATAAACAGAACTCAGAAAGAAGCCTCTTCGCAAAACACCATGCCGTGCCTACACTCGGATTCGTCATCAAATAATTCTATGTCTAAACATATTTTATTTTTCTTTCATCACTCATATCCTATGTTAGTTACACAACGTTAAAGTTTGCTATGAGCCCTTAACCACTAACCATTCTAAAATACTTTAACGTCTTCTGGATTCTTTGGAATCTCTATCGACGTTCAGCTGAGTGGAGTTCAGCGGAGGGTGATTCACGAAGTGAAATTTCGTAAAGTTGAAGTTCCATACGGCGTCCTTTCTCACCGTTGTTTCATTTACATAGGATTTGCTATCTTCTGCAATTTTCTAGAACGTTCTTTTCAATAATGAGGGATTCGAATTCCCTAAGAGGAATTGAACTTCGAAACCAGAAGGTTAGGACCTTTTCTCTATGAGGACCCCGTAGAAGTCAACATTTTTTGAAGGTTCTAAATGTAATGCCACGACTCTGTCTTCATTATAGCTTGTACTGGCTTGATATAGAGCGAAGATAACGAAGACCTTCAAGATCGTCAAATTCGGATTATGTTGAAATCTTCACAAGCATAGTCATCTAACTCAGATCATCAGTTGATCAAACTAACCGGTATACACGACAAAGATCATGCTCACAAGGGCGGTCCACTTAGTCAATTCCTTTGTAACATGTTCGAAGAAAATTCTTTTTGTGGTGTCACAAATAGTATTTGGCGGATGGTGCCAAGTCGCTCCGACCTCTGAGATAAAGAAATACTCAGCTTGACTAGCCACCATAACTAGGGTGCTCAGATGGTAATGGGTATACGATGTAAGAACAGACCATCATCAAAGCTCGTCCAGATTTGGGTAGCCTTAATCCCTTAGATTTTTGTATCCTATCTCCACTCCTATTCAATATGGATATGGAAGTCTACTATATAGAAAATAAGGCAGCTTTTGAGATTTTTCTTACCCATTAATACTAGCAAAAAGCCTTCCCAGCTGTGACTTAGAACTTTCTTCTACTGACAATATGCACATCAGTTTTCGTATACACGAATTTTCTCTCGTACGAATGCTTGAGCATGTATATTGTAAATGGTTATTCACAGGTCCCTCTAGCATAAAGCAAAAAAAATAGTCGTTATTCTGAATTCATCTACTTTTGAGGGCAAGTTCAATGTACTCTTTGGTTCGTGTTTAATCCATTATGCGCCACCTAGGAACGCCCCACATGTGGTCGCCATGAAACTGGTGGGGGAACTCTTATCGTAGGAGAGGCGCGATGCCATGCATACGTCATCCAAGAAACCTTTAAATTATTGCAAGAGACCACTGTCGTTCTTCTATTTCCAATTTAAAAGTCAAATTCATAATGGAAAATTGGCATTCCCCTTGCTCTTGCCTTGCTACGCAGCGAAATGGGCGATGGATAGGGTCCGAAAACAGATGAGATGGAGTAGCAGAATGATAAATCATCGCTAGAATTCTGGTCAAGTCTCCGATTGTATATTCATTTCACCAGGACTCGTACTTCTGTATTCTTTTGTTTCATTGAAAAAATGTAAACTCGAAAGATCGACTTTCCATAAACCTAGGCATAGATAGTTGATATATTTATTTATGTGATCTTATAAACTGATCTTCTTAAGCTGACGCGAGGTTGTCACAGGTCTTCGTTGTCGTTGTCGTCGTTGTTGTTATTGCTCGATGGCCGACGTTTCGGCGACTTCGTCTTCCTCAGAGCCTGGACGTATTTTATACTAGAATATTTTTATTATTCGGTGGAGAAAAGGTTAAAGTATTAATGAAGATCAAACTTTTAAATAGATGCCATATTGAACAGAATGGCAACTCACCGTGATGTTACGTGTGGGGCTGGCCCACCCCGGAGCCAAAATATCATTTTAAAATGGGGCGCCTGAAATTAAAAATAGCAAGGCAATCGTCTTTACGGTTCATCTTTGGATTTTTGAAATTTATCCAAAACGCCTCAAAAGTTTTGCGCGTTGATGTTTTTGATTCCTGCGCTAGGATCCGCACATTCACTTCGAAATCATCGCCGTTGTGCTTTTGTGCCCTATGCGTACCTAGAGGGGTGTTTAAACGGATTTTAGCTTTCCCATCTAGATGTTCTTTTATGCGGACACAAAGTGGTCTACCCGTTTCCCCGATATATTCCTCGCCGCATGCATTACATGAGATCAAGTATATTATACCTAAACTCCCGTCTCTCCCGTTAGGTCAGATCATACAGTTTTCTGAGCTGCACAAACGATCACAGAGACGGTTTCGAACTAACTGGCGGCGTAGGGTATTGGGTGGGATGTCAACAATCGTTACATAATTTTCAAGACCACTTTTTCTTAAGCACTTTTTAATGGCGTGACTTACTTTATTTGATATGAAGGGCAGCTTAAAGGGGATCCTACTTTCGTCTGAAATATTATTTTGGGAACTACCCAATATTTTCCTCTAACCCGAGTGGCTTCTACTTCGTAGCCATTGGAAATGGCAATTTTTCGTGCCAGGTTTCGCGATTCCTTCCTTTCCTCTTCTCCTGTGCACACATTTTTAGCCGTACGATACATATTTTTGATAAGTGCTTTTTTCATGTGTGAAGGATGAGAGGAGAGGCAGTGGACTAGAATATTTTTACTACTTGGCTTGCGATACCATTTTGTTACATAGCCACTTACTGAGAGCTTTATTTAGATGTTTAAGAATGGAAGCCAGTTCTCGGTAGGTTTTTCTCGTGTAAATTTTATATACTCTGNTGTTTTCCTCTAACCCGAGTGGCTTCTACTTCGTAGCCATTGGAAATGGCAATTTTTCGTGCCAGGTTTCGCGATTCCTTCCTTTCCTCTTCTCCTGTGCACACATTTTTAGCCGTACGATACATATTTTTGATAAGTGCTTTTTTCATGTGTGAAGGATGAGAGGAGAGGCAGTGGACTAGAATATTTTTACTACTTGGCTTGCGATACCATTTTGTTACATAGCCACTTACTAGGAGCTTTATTTGGATGTTTAAGAATGGAAGCCAGTTCTCGGTTGGTTTTTCTCGTGTAAATTTTATATACTCTGACTGGCTAAAAATGTTTGTGCAGCAGAAGAGGAAAGGAAAGAATCGCAAAACCTGGCACGAAAAATAGCCATATCCATTGGCTACGAAGTAGAAGCCACTCGGGTTAGAGGAAAACACTAGGTAGTTTCCCAAAATAATATTTCGGACGTAAGTAAGATCCCCTTTAAGCTGCCCTTCATATCAAGTGAAGTAAGTCACGCCATTAAAAAGTGCTTAAGAAAAAGTGGTCTTGAAAATTATGTAACGATTGTTGACATCCCACCCAATACCCTACGCCGCCAGTTAGTTCGAAACCGTCTCTGTGATCGTTTGTGCAGCTCAGAAAACTGTATGATCTGACCTAACGGGAGAGACGGGAGTTTAGGTATAATATACTTGATCTCATGTAATGCATGCGGCGAGGAATATATCGGGGAAACGGGTAGACCACTTTGTGTCCGCATAAAAGAACATCTAGATGGGAAAGCTAAAATCCGTTTAAACACCCCTCTAGGTACGCATAGGGCACAAAAGCACAACGGCGATGATTTCGAAGTGAATGTGCGGATCCTAGCGCAGGAATCAAAAACATCAACGCGCAAAACTCTCGAGGCGTTTTTTATAAATTTCAAAAATCCAAAGATGAATCGGAAGGACGAATGCCCCACTATCACGCGTGACCTGGCGCCCTATTTCAAAGTGATATTTTGACCCTGGGGCGTGAATTGCTGGCGTGAACTACCTGTCGGCCAGTCCCGCACGTAACATCACGGTGAGTGACCTTTCTGTTCAATATGGCGTCTATTTGAGAGCTTGATCTTCATTAATACTTTAACCTTCTTTTCCACCGAATAATAAAAAGTATTCTAACATAAAGTACGTCCAGGCTCTGAGGAAGGCGAAGTCGCCGAAACGTCAGCCATCGTTCAATAACATCAAAAACAACGACAACGACAACGAAGATCTGTACCAACCTCGCGTCAGCTTAAGCTGATAAATGTAAAATTTTTCCAACACTTTATTCGCCACCTGATGCTTGACATTACAGCCTGGAAGACCAGGAATTCCAGGACAGGATGGCGAGTATTGTCCTTGCCCTCCTAAACGTGGAACCTACCGTCCATCAACCTATGGTCAGTTGATGTGCTCCATCTCAGATATATTCCTAACTAGTTAATTTCAGATTATTATGTGGGTCAATCCAGTGGAATCAACGGCAGAGCTAAACAGGGTTACGATAGAGGACAAATAAGTGCAGCCGAATACCGAAGAAGGTAAGTTCAGGTGTTTGCTCAAAAATTTAGTAGACACTGGTACGCAGAAAGTGTAGTCAGAATGATAAATAGAGTGAGCTTATTTCTTTTTTTATAGCGAGGCCTTAACCTAATTAAATCTGAAAGTTACAAGCGTTTTAACAGTAAAAGAAATTGACAGTGTCTCAACAGTGATAAGGATACTGGTAATGGCATCGACTCAATCGAAGCTAACGGATTCGTTTCAGAGTGATCGCTCGGATGCTGCGGCGCCGACGTTTGCTGTCTCAAAAGAAACAGATGTAGTTCAAACTGAATACCACTCGAACTAACTCTATTCTTCCAAAAACAACCTCTATGCGTAGTGAATAAAACTGAAGAATCAACTATTTAAGTGATTTGTTTATGAGAAACCTGTACAACGTGGATACCTCTGGATGAAAAGCCCAAGTTCTAAAATTGCAACATGGAAAGCCTTTTTGCTACTGTTCTCAGCTGTACAGTTATACTGAGTGATAGAAGGCTAAACAACTAAGAATACAACTGGTAGACCACTAAAATCGGAAACGTAAAGACGTTTCCACATTGCGGAAGCGAAGACTACTCAACGAATTGTGCCTTGTGTCCACTAAACCAGGATGCGTGCAGCGCAGTGGTTAATCGCGCCATGCAATGCACGACAATGGTCATCGATTCGATTTGACGTCCCGGCTCACCAAGCCCTCGATGCCTCTGTAGTCAAAAAACTAGTGCCAGACTTATCTGTGAGGGTAAAAATATGGGCTTAATACATCTATTGGCCGTATAAGGTCGTTTTTGGTCCCAATGTGCATTCGCTCGCCTCAACGTTGTTATGAATGGAATCGAATGCTTAGTCCTAACGGACTAAATAACAGAGAACACGGAGCGCTTTATCCTTCTGTGTTACGCATTAAACTGCACTTTCCATCCTTTTGTCAATGGCTTTGTTTTCCCAGCAATGCAGTTGACGTATTCGCTTCTAATTTTCTTCCTATGATAGCACTTATGAGGATGAAACATCTTCGGAGGTATTTCTGCTAATCTACTATCCTGTTAAGCTTGAAAAAAGACGGCCTAACGTTTCATAGTAAATGGAAAAAAATGATGTAAAGAACATGGATTTACCTCGATTTTGAAATAGAACTTATCATCCTCTCACAGAAACCGAAAACTCCAGCACGAAAAACTCTTGAAGCTTTCTGGATAAATTCCAAGAACCTGAAAATGAACTACATGGGGGACTCGTAATCGCGCGTGAACTCACACAGTATTTAAAACTGGTATTTCAATGTAAGAGGCATATTATGCATCCATGTGAACTCTGTATAGTTGGTCTCTACGTAACACACTAAGATGGAGACTCATAGAAAGCGTCGTGTGTGCGAACCCATTTTACTTTCAATGTGATTGAAATAGTTGTTTAGCATGCTCTCTGTCTGATTATGGAGGTATTTGGTTGGGTAGATTGCGGTCATCTTCATGGATCTTTCTGAGGAAGGCGAAATCCTCTGAAACGTCAGCTTTACCATAATAAGGAATAAAGTGACACCTTGTGTCTGCTCAGCAGGAATATAGAAAAAAATGACAGTGTTTGAAAGAAGCTCTATATTCTGAGAATAAAAATTTACGTAACAAGTTTTATCTGCAGAGGTTACGGAATTGTTTAGCTGGGTAAATTGCGTTTCAATTTGACCTTTCAGGCTCTGGACAAAGCACAAACCGTTCGGGAATGAGAGGTGGGATATGCATGTAACTTTCAACTACCATCGTTGGAGGTTATCTAGTGCATAAGTGACGTATACAGTGACTCGCGATGACCTAGTCCTGTATCAAGGCAGTGCTGCTAACCTTCTAACCTTCTGGAAATGTTTGGTGCCAATTTGCCGACCTCGGAGAGATCTTTATGAGCCCACGGTGCGAGGTCGAACTATTGACCGTATGTGTATCGCAGGGCACCTCCGACTACTGCACTAAGTGCGCCTCTGTTCAGTAAGATATTGCATAAAAATGCTCTCTACCCTTTTACTAGTAAAATCTATTCTTCGCCCCATTTTAGTACAGAACTTGTATTGCTAGATCCTCACACCTCAATACCTCACATAGTAGCCCTTCATTCCCAGATCAACGATAATAAAGCACAGTTGACACTAGGCTTTCGAAAATTTATTCTCGCTAAGACAACACGTAGAGGAAGCCTGTGGTACAGCTTGAGAAGATCCATGACCCTTGGAATGGCCTAGGTAAGGTTTTTCTGGCATAATCCATTTTTAGCCTTACTACAGCGAGAAGATGGTCCTTTCTGAATGTCTATATTACAGAGCACCTTAACGAATGGTGCTCTCAACGGCAATTAGACTCAACGTTCTCGTAGAGGAATGCGTCGAAACAGTAACTTGCTCTCTCCGAAGATGCAGTCAATAGTTTTTATAGCTGAATAAAATGGCACACGAAGACCGAGTCATGTGCTCTAAAAAAGATTCTTAAGTAGTTTTCTCGAGCCTTCCTATTAGTGGCTGCAAGCCAATTGTATTCCGATTTGAGTCTAGCCTTTCCTTCAGTATTCCTTTTAATGTATATCTGCAAATGCGACTTTAGGAACTTATTTAAGTGGTTGAAAGCTTCCGCACAGAAAAGAGCTAATGCATTATGGTTTGTGAGTCAACCTTGGCGTTTTGTGCGCAAGTGGACAAATGCTGTCCAAGCACCCCGTTGCATTCCACGTTTTTTAGATGTAGTAGAAGAAAATTGGAAACGTAGCGGCCAAGCTCGAAATGGATTTACGGATCTCTTCGTAATGGCCGAAGTGTGAAACGAGAAGCTACTCACGATAATGGAAGCCGATTTAGTTACAAGTGTTTGAGTAAGGAACGTTTAACGTGATGAATTGTAATTTAAAAAAGTAAGGAGCTTCATAGACGTGTTATGAAAACATTGCCAAATACACACTATGAAACAGGAAAATCGGAATAATCGGCTGCCCTAAAGAGGACTGTGAATTTCTATCCCTCCCTCAACTCATGGTTCGACCATTTTCTTCTCCTTCTGAATTTTGAAATTCGATGAGATGCTTTCAGATTGTTCATTTACACAGACTTAGTGGTGTAATACAAATAGAAGAACTCTGTGGCGCAGTGTATAATGCACGAGCTCCCGGAAAGAGAAAACGTGGTTCAATCTGGCCCAGAGTCCAAGTTTTATGAATATCTAAGCATCGTTGTGGTTGCAATTCATTTCATACCCTGCCGTAAAAAATTATAATAAGCAGAAAATGAAAAGGTTAACATTGTGATTTCGACTACAACCTCAGCTTAACTGGGTTCAATGCCGATTTTGCTTCTCAGATCAATCTCGCTAGCAGGGAATTGTCATGACAGCGTTAGGTAGAAAATTAGCTAAAATAAACGCAAAGCAAGGACCTCCGTGGCGCGATGTGTGAGCCCCGGAAAGGGAAATGGCTGTTCGACCTGGCCCGGGTATATGTTTTGCGAATATCTCGGCATCGTTGTGGCTGTAATACACAGACTTAGCTCGTTCATAAGTTTTCGAACAGTGGCGCACAGCCCGTCCTGTTTCAATGGCCTTCAGGCAGATGTCGTCTATATCCATGGCCACTTGCGACTCCTTTCAGCTTCAGAACCAGCATGCGCCACTGGACTTTTTCTGAGGTAGCTTTGGCTTACATGGCTTTTCATTTGACCATAACTGTTGTATTCGGAATCCTGTTTGCATCGAATAACTTCATACAGAACGATTTTTATACTGCGATGACTACCTCGTTTTTCCTTTAACACATCTGCGGAGATGTGACCTCTATAGAAATCATAGGATGAAAAATAATGATCGCTTCCAATCTAAACAACTAATTCAGCACATCTCAACTTATAATGAATTTGACTATTTGTCAGAAAACTGCTGCAATCTGCAAATCCTTGCCTTCACGAGAAAAGCCTTCCTGTTTACCGTGATGAAGTTAGGAACTTCTGAAGTTTATGACATATGTTTCTTCCATTTTATTATTTTGAAGGCTGTACTTGGATTAGGAAAGCAAATGAACAAGCGGGATTTCGTCGAGTCTGACACTACGATGTTACATGATGTTATCTGTCACGCCGTTCATATTTGTACCTCTGCCGCCCTTTGGTTGGAAATCTTGAAAACTTCAATTTCTTGTCAATTGTTTGGTGTTAGCCCTAAACAGATTTAAGTCTAGAACCACACCGTTTAAAACGTATATGCGCGATCGAGACGATAGAGAAAAGTCTCTCCTGTAACTGGATTTGGTTCCGAACCTCTGCTTTAGAGATCAAGAAATTATCCTCTGTTGTCGAAAAACCAGCTTCGGCGCGAATATTTCAAAGGCAGACGACACGGACACCAGTGGACGGTGTAGATGCCTAGTGGAATTCGTTTTCACTGACTATAGACTGTTTCATTCATTTGATTCAAACCTAGTTAGATTGAACCGTAAGGATGCTGAGATGCGAGCAGAGTTAAGACCCTCAGGAGGTTTTCGAACCAGCTCACCTTACTCTTACCGTGGCCTCACTTGCTAGCAGCCACAGCAACCGAAGGCCTTGCCTTGCCTTTCTCTTAGGTAGTTGTTTTTTACCCTAATGATGTCATCGGCAATGATGGGTTCGACGTGGGATCTGAGTTTTGCAAAGATCTACGAACCATTGTGGTTGTAGTTCACATAGCACCCTACTATTAAAAAGTAATAATCAGCAGATAAAAAGTTAAACATGACTTGCTTATAAAGCGGCGTACATTTTCAACTTCCCAGTCACTTGATTTTAGGCTTTTGGCCGAATTGACTCGTAGAATACAATCCGCATGAGCGAGAACGCATTCACACACGCATGCATGAACACGCCTAGCAAATACAGTAAATATGTGCCAAATCAGCGTAGCAGAAACAGAGAGTCCATCCCCTGAACCCACCTGCATCTCAGGGAAGCGAAGGTCGCTTTTGGTCTGCGATTAACCCTCTACCCGCCACCTGGGGACGCGCCACGTAGCCTCGCGACAATCCAGCTCGAGATCCTTCAAATGAGGTAGGACCGAGGCACAGTGGCTAAACAAGCAAAACTCCGAAAACGGAGATTATGCTGGGATACGCACAACCAGTAAAGACGGGCCGTTTAAGTATCCAAGTAAGTATCCAGGTATAATCATAGATTTGTGTATATAAAGCAATGATTTCCTTCTGTACGTTGTAGTCCTCGCTGTTATTCAAAGTCTTCGAGTTCTACAGGGCTCTGAACAACACTGACAGCTAAGTGCATGATATCTATGCTGGATAATCCTAAAG